TGGGGGAGCCGGGAGGGAGGAGGCCGGGCGGCGGGAGAGCCGCAGGAGAAGAAGGCGTGGCGTAGCGGGCGGGGGGCTCTTTGGGTCTGGGGCCGCGGCGCCGTCCGCGCAGGGACCCGGGTGACACCGTCGTTTCCCATCTTCCAGGGGCCGGCCGGGCAGCCATGCTCCTCTCAGGGGGCGAGCCCCCGGCGCAGGAATGGTTCATGGTGCAGACGAGATCGAAGCCTCGGGTACAGCGACAGCGGCTGCAAGTGCAGCGCATCTTCAGGGTCAAGCTGAATGCCTTCCAGAGCCGCCCCGACACCCCCCACTTCTGGCTGCAGCTCGAGGGGCCCCGGGAAAACACGGGCAAAGCCAAGGTAAACGGCTTCTCTCCACCCTCAGCCATCCCTTCCACACAGACCCCGTTTCCTCCTGACCCAGACGCCCTGATCCGGATTGCCCAGGTGTTGGGCCACCTTGGCTTCTCCAGGTGCAGCCGGGCTGTTCCCCATCTCCTCCTTCCCTCTGCTTCCCTCTCTCTTTTCTGCCCCACCCCTTCCTTGCATGTCACTCTGTCTCAAGTGGTTTGAGAGAGCCTGGCGGCCTGTGTCCTCCATGAGCCGTTTCTGGCCAGGGTTCCAGCATCCACGGCCCCTGCTTTTTCCCCTGGGGAGCAACTCGAGGCTCTGAGTTTCTGTGGCCTCTTGAACACCCCTCTTTGTTCTCTACCAAGGCCCAGGTCCGCCTTCTCTTAAGTCTCCTTAAGTCCTGGGCTATCTCTTGGAGCGTCTCTGAGTGCTGGGAGCCCAGGGGCCTAGAGACATGCAGACACTTGTGGAGCGATGCTGGCGTTTTACAGATGAAGCACTGGGGACCACAGAGGGTCAGGGGTCTGCCTGGGTGCTCGATATCAGGGAGGTGGGGACAGTCAGACCGGAACCCACGCTTGGTCCCTAGGCAGGCTCCTACAGGGGCTCAGGGTGGGGCGCAGCTGCTCTGGAAGGCACCAGCCTGTGGGGATGGGCTGGAATGTGGGAGGAGGCTGTGGGCTTTCAGGTGACAGGGCCTGCTGTGTGCGGCTGGACACTGAGGGGGCCAGGTCCTAGGCCTCTGGCATGCTCCCTGGCTTCTCTCACAAGCGGCTCAACCTGGACCTGCCAGGTTCCCTGGTTCCCCAGTCATGGTCAAGGTCTCCCTCTTCCCCCAGAGTCCCTTCTCTATCTCTTCCTGGTAGGAATGCGAGTGCTACAGCCTCCCCCTTCCCCTCAGACTGCCTCCTCCTCTGCGCACACACCTTGCTGCTGGGCCTATTGCAGTCTCCTAATTGGTCAAGGCCATGGGTGGGGGAGGCGCAGAACTCAGCCAGGAGGCGGCCTGCAGGCTGGGAAGTCCCTCCCTCAGCCCCTGGTCGAGCTGCTGTGTCAGCAGTTTTTCCAGTTCTGTCAGAGGTGCTGGGGGAGGGGAGGGGGTCTGTCCAGAGAACAGATGTGCAGGAGCCCTTGAGAGTAAGACGTTTCCGAAGCTGGGATGGGGTAGGTTGGCAAGAGGAACCTTTAGGGTTTAGGGGGTGCTTGAGGATGGGCACTTTGAGGTACCTAGTTTCCCTGCTCCTTGCTTCAGTCCCAGAGCAGCTTCTTCAGGCCTCTTTGCTGCTTGAGGGCTCTTTGGACCATGAGTCCTCGCACCTCAGGCTCCCATTCCAGTTCCTGCTAATGTGACCAGTGGCGCCCTCAACCCTCACCCCCATTCCCCTTTGTTTACCCTTTGGGAATCTAGCCTGAGGAAATTCTGGGTAACTCCCTCCCTGACTGCCAGAACAGGAGAGCAGAGAGAGGATATTGGAGCGGGAGAACAGGGACGGTGGGGCGATAAGCTTTTGTCCAGGGGTTAGGATTCGTTACACTGTCACCAAGCTATGGCCAGTATCGAGGGATGCAGTGGAGAGAGTTTGGAGTGTGGGGTTTGCTACTCCCTAACTGAGCAAGTTAAGTCAAATAATTTACCTTCTCTTGAGTCCATTTCCTCATCTAGGAAACAGAATATAGTCATACCCAGTTCGTGGAGGGGTTGTGAGAATCCGCTGAAATAATACGTTTAAACATTTGTGCAAAATGTGGAGAGCTATAGAGTCTAGATGTCAAGTATTGTTATTAACTAACTATGTAACTTTGAGCAAGTCCTTTAGCCTCTCTGAGTCTTTTTTTTTTTTTTTTGTAAGCCTTAGGGCGTGTGTGCTCTCTGGAGAGAGAGAGACTGAGACATTGAGAGGGAAAGTGAGAAATCGCCTTTCAGGGGGGATGGCCATACTGCTTTCCCTTCTCCTCCATTCTCCTCCCAGAATCCTGGGCACCCGGTGTGAGTTTCTTTTCTTTTTTTTAGAGAGAGATTTTTGCTATAGGGTCAGTGTGCTTGCCAGAGAGACAGTGACAGAAAGCGAGAAATCACCCTTTGTGGGGATGGCCACACTGCAATCCCTTCTCCTTCACTCTCCTCTCAGGATTTTGGGCATGCATGCACACGTGCCTGGTGTGAGTTTCAGTCCACTGGGGCTGGGACTTGATCTGTGGTTGGTTATGTGGGAGTCCAGAAACACAACTGCTATGCCATCTGCTGGCCCCAACCTCTCTAAGTCTTGTGTTGCTTAAGGCCTAGTGATCAGATGTATATACAGATGTACATACTTATTTCCCAAGTATAAAGATTTAGTCTTGTGGCTGCTGTGCAGAGATGATATGGCCACCCTCTATCCCAGCTACAGGGACTTAAAACTGTGTGCTTTGATAATGGCCTGCTATATGTAGGTCAGTTGGCAAAGAGTTCTTGAGACTAGAGGTCACAGGAGGAGGGAATAGTGAGTGAGGGTGGCTTATGGGTCTGAGGGGTAGAAGGGTCAAGGAGGATTCAGGTGGGCTGGCCCTGTAGTGCTGCATTTAAATGATTGTGCACAGGAACCTGGATCCCACATGGCCAACCAGAGTTTGAGCCTTAGCCCTGGAGACTTACATGCCAGGTACACATACGCCCAGGGTCCTGACGGGATAGAGAACTGAAGGAAAAAGGATTGCAACATGACCAAGTCCCATAAGGAGTGCTTTCTCTACCTCTCTCTGTCTCTGTCTGCATTTATCCCCATCTCTCACGTGTACTCCTGGGTCCTATAGCATAATAAAAGAAAAACAAAACAAAAAGAATACAGTCTAATCGGGAGAATGGCCTGGGTTGTTTCTTCCAGTGGTTTTCCAGAGAAACCTCTGTTAAATTCAAAAGTATTTCTAAATTGTTCTGAAAAGTATTGAAAACATTGCTGTTAATTACATTCCCAGGTGAAATTAACATGAGGAGAGGAGAATTTTTTGGTATAGGGCCCGCGTGCTTGCCGAAAGACAGAGATACAGCAAGTGACAAATCACCCCCCAGGGAGGATGGCCACACCGCAATCCCTTCTCCTCCATTCTCCTCTCGGGATCTTGGGCACGCACACACGTGTGCCCAGCGTGAGTTTAAGCCACCGGGTCCGGGACTCAAATCACGGTCGACTACATGGGAATCCAGCGACATAGCCATTACAACAGCTGCTGGTCCCAGAAGGAAGGAGAGTTTTGTAGTGATCAGAAAAGGCCCAGCCTACTTAGCACAGTGAGTGACAGGCTGAACTGCACACTTGGGGCCAGTGGCCAACATGTGTGGTATCCCTGGCCCGGTTGACCCAAAACATGCCTGGGGCATGTGCCTAAGACCCTGATGAGCAGGAGGGGAGGGGAAGGAATCACTGCATGGCCAGATCCTGTTGAGGGTAATTCTCACTCTCTCTCACATGCACACATGCTATTATAAATAAAATAATAAGTAAAATTTAAAAATGATCAGAAGAGCCCAGGGACAAGCCCTTCTTGGCGACAATGGGAAGATGGATCGGGTGGCAGGGAGAAAAGGTGACTTGTTCACTTCTCTCCTTTTTGACAACATGGAAGGGGGTAATGGGGAGTCCAAAGCAGTGGCATGGGAGAAGGTGGTTTCTGGAGACCAGGTTCTGGATTTCTGGGAGAGGACATGCAAAGCTTGCTGACTTTTGGTTGGAAGTTTATCTGTCCTTGCTCCACACTAACTGAGCAGTTCTGTGGGAGTTGATTCTGGCCAGGGGAGTGCTCCTATTGACTCACTAATGACTCACTGTTAAAATTTGAGGAATTGGGGGCTGGCAGGTGGCATGGTGAATAAGGGTGCTGGACTCCCACATGGTTGCCTGTGGTTCGAGTCCTAGACTTGGCGGCTTGCTTTCTTGCCTTTTCCCTCTCTCTCTCTCCATCTCCCTCTCTGGTCAAATTAAAATGAACAAAGTTAAATAAAATAATTCTTAAAAAAAAAAAAAAAGAGGAATTTAAGCCAGCAGGTGGTGTAGTAGTTATAGTGCTGGACTCCCACATGGTCAACCACGGTCTGAGTCCTAGATCCCATGGCTTGAAACCCACTGGGCGCATGTGTGTGCATGCCCAAAATCTCAAGAGGAGAAGGGATTGTGGCATGGTCATCCCCCCTGGGGGGTGATTTTTAAATTTCTGTCTCTGTGTTTCTGGTGAGTACACGCACCCTGTAGCAAAAATGTCTCTTAAAACAATTTTTTTTTTTTCAGGAAATTTGGTAGCCAGTGGAGGAGCATATATAGCTCTGATGGGAGTTTATCTGTATACCACAGAACTCGGCAAGTGCTACAAATCGGGGCTCTCTCCCACCACTAGCTGTTGGTTAAACATTTGTTAGGACACTTAATTGTCTCATGAACACCTAATCATTTTTCTTTAAATTTAAATCCTCTTTTATCAAAATAATTCACATTTATAAAAAGTCTAGTAGTGGGACTAGCAGATAGTGTAATGGTTTTGTTGCTGGACTGCCACATAGTCAACTGCAGTTCGAGTCCTGGAGCCAGTGGCTTAAAACTCACGCAGGCACGAGTGCGAGTGTGCCCAAAATGCCAAGAAGAGAATGGAGGGGAAGGGATTGCAATGTGGCCATCCCCCTGTGGGGTGATTTCACGCTTTCTGTCTCTCTCTGTCTCTTTAGTGAGCACCCACCCCCTATACCAAAAATCTCTCTCATAAAAAAAAAAAAAAAGTCCAGTAATTGTGCAGTCCTATGGCCTGATGGTTAAGGGCGCGGAATCCTACATGTCCAACCATGCAGTTCGAATCCCAACTCCAATGGCTTGAAAAACATGTGGGATGCGTGTGTGTACATGCCCCCAATTTTGACAAGATGGAGAAATGGAGGAGAAAGGATTGCCGTGTGACTGTGTCCCATGGAGGGGAGCTTTCTCCCTCTCCCTCTGTCTCTCTGGTGAGCGCATGTGTCCTGTTCCCTGCCTTGTCTCGTCCCAACT